GGATAGCCCATGGTACTTTGGAATGTGATGTAACAGGCTTGACTTCAATTCGAACTCGGCAGTCTTGTCTTGAGCCGCCCTTGGGTATTGAATGCACAAGGGTGCGGCATTGGCCAATCCCGAAGCGGAAAGCTCCTTGATTGTTCGGTTGTCCGCTGCCATGTCTTCCACTTCTTCTTCAAATTCAGAAACGGACTCGGAACTTGCACTTGATTCACTAGGTTCCGGGTTCTTCCTCTTACGTCTCAACTCACGCTCAAAATCGTCGTCAAAGTCTAAAATATGTTCGTGAACCGGATTAGAACTCCGAGTCATAAACAAGTACCTAAAACAAGAAACAAAATAACATAAGAATCTGATCTAAAATAAAACAAACGAAAATAAACAATCCAAGGGATTAGCAAAGTTGCTAATCCCCGGCAACGGCGCCAAAATTTGATGCGAGATTTATACGCACACAAATTAAACCCTCTTTTTATCAATTGTAGTGAAGAATGTAAGTAGGGATCGTTCTGGACCGGGGATTAGGAGGGATTGTTAATCACTTGGATTTGACTCAAAAACGTAGAAACACAATATAAAACACTATACTAGACTCAAAGAATGCAAAACTAAACTTTAAAACACAAAAACAAACCAAAAGACTCAAAACAGCCCCAAAACACTCAAAACTGCCTTAAAAACACAATCTGGGCAGTTTTGAACACTAGACACAACTTTGGACGAAAATTGGTTTTAACTTGACCTAAGACACTTAAAAACACAAACTAAATTGATTTCTAACTAATTTGACACTCTAAGTAAAGGGGGATTTTGATTTTGACGAATTTGAAAACAAAACTTAAAACTTTGTAAAACGAACAGATTTTAAAACGAATTTGGATTTAATGAATGAGATGGAGGCTAGCTAAGGGGTTCATCTCCACACATGTTATACTTGCACACAAAACGATTTCTAATTGCTTTTCAATAAACCATGAATTCTCAACGCCCCAGATTAACCGTGAATTGCACTAATTAACCCTCAGATTTTCCTAACGTTATTGAATTGGATGATTGCATACGACAACCCAAAACATTCCCCACAAGTCCCCTACATGATTGCATAATAGAGATACAAGCAAGAATCATTAAGTTCTATGAAAACCATAAGCATTGACGAAGCACTTGTTACTATGATTGCATGAAACTTATGCCAAGAATTTACTTAACGCGATTGAGATCATCAACCTTTACTACTTGTGAATATAATTCCATAACGATTAGGTGAAATTTCCTTATATCCTAGCATCCAATTTATGCATGAAAATTAAGCGTGCACTCTCAACCAACACACACAAATCAATGTAATTCACATAGATAAGTAAATTGAATTCACAACTTATGAAACGCAATTAGAAGTAATCAAATCATATTGCAAGCATAAACATGTGTTTCGAATCCCCCCCTAGCCAAGGGGGGGTTTAGTTCCTCATACGCACAAAACAAAGAGAATTGAATTTAAACATTGAAATCAAAGGAAAAGAAACACCTAGAAATTCCAGCGACGCGAACTTGAATTGCATGAACTTCCGAGCTTCCTTCTCCTCCTCCTTGGTGCGGCAAGGGTCTAGGGACAGGTTTTAGGGCCTTAGGTGTATGGATGGATGGTTATGGAGGGATGTAGTAGTGTTTAGGGGAAGGGGATGGTGCGGCTAAGGCCTAAAACTAAGGAAAGGGGTGTTTGGTGGCTGCGGCAAGTGTGTGGAGATGTTTTGACGAATTTATGGAATGAATGAATGTGTATGAGAGGTCGTCCTCTGATCTAGGGGTTAATATGAATATATATAGGCACTTAAAACCCTAGGGTAATCAGATATGGACTTGAATAACCCAAATCAACTAGGAAATAGGCTTAGAAATCAGAAATAGAGAGGGATAATGCTTCCTAGGTGCGGCAGGTATGGGATAAGGTGATAAGGTTTCTAGAATGCCTTGCAAGGCAAGGGAAATCAGATTTCTAGAAGGGTTTGGGCGCCACCTTTGTAGGAGATAAGATAAGGTTCCTAAAATCATGCTTTAAGTGCCAAATTTGTAGGGAAAAAGAGATAAGGGTGCAGCACCTTCTTAGGGATAATGTTTAGGGCTTCTAGAAAGCCTAAAACTAAGGGGAATTGGATAAAACGTGGCAAGGATAGGATAGGGTGTCCTAAATGGATAAGGTGCCCTAAATGGATAAGGACTCCTCATTGTACTTGGAAACTTTGCCTATTAGGATTAGGAAACCTTGTCTTCATCATTCCTTCTTCATCTTGGACTCCTTTTCCTTCTTGGACTTGGAAAACTTCTTTGTTGCTTCTCTTGAAACCATTTGGATTTTGACTTTCCTACTTCAAGTAGGAAACCTTGTTTGAGTAGGAATCTTCATTCTTCTAGGAATCCTAATTCAACTAGGGAACCCATTTCCATTAGGGGCTTTCCTCCTTCAACTAGGAAACCTTGCTCAAGTAGGAAACATCATCTTCAAGTCTTCAATTTCGTCCATCCTCTTGGCTCCAAGCATATGATGTCCATTCCAAGCTCTAATTTGCTCCAAAAGGCTCCAAAATGCATCCTTTTGCATACTTTGCCCTTAAAACCTGAAAATACATAAAACTAGCTTAAAATACTACTTTACTAAGGAAAAACACTTTAAATGCACAAGAACAAGCTAAACTAAGGTGCATAAATATGCTCCTATCATGGCACTTAAGTAGTTCTGCCCTTAGAGACTTTTGCCATAAAGCTGTTAGTTTTCTCACGTGTTCCATGCAATTGATGGCAACTTTTTTTTTTTTTGTATCAGGCGGCTCGAGTGTTCAAGGTGGCCTTCTATGAACCCTTTAAGCCTTGGGCTCTTAGGTCTTTCCAAGCCTAGGCCATTGGCCTAAATGCGCCCAACGTTAATGCAATAATTATATCAGACCATTCGACGGTGTGTTCCAAAAGAGGAGCTGGAAAATGTTTTTAAGTTTGCCCATCAATATGCATGTGGAGTACACTTTGGGCCAAAGTGTCACATCCCGGCCCGGGCGGGACCAATTCCCAAGCCAGCTCCACCAGCGTAGCACGATATTGTCCGCTTTGGGCTTACCATTCCCTCACGGCTTTGTTTTTGGGAACTCACGTGCAACTTCCCAGTGGGTCACCCATAATAGGATTGCTCTAGCCCCCTTCTCGCTTAACTTTGGAGTTCATACGGAACTCGAAGCTAGTGAGCTCCTAAAAGGCCTTGTGCTAGGTAGGGATGGGAATATACATATAATGATCACTCCCTTGGGCAATACGGGATGTCACAATCCACCCCCCTTAGGGGCCCGACGTCCTCATAGGCACACCACGGCCAGGGTTAAGCTCTGATACCAAATGTCACATCCCCGCCCAGAAGGGACCACTTCTCGAGCCCGCCCCACCACCGTAGCACGATATTGTCCGCTTTGGGCCCCGACCATGCCCTCACGGTTTTGCTTTTGGGAACTCACACGAGAACTTCCAAATGGGTCACCCATTCTGGGAATGCTCTCGCGCACTACTCGCTTAACTTCGGAGTTCTCATGGAACCCGAAGCCAATGAGCTCCCAAAAGGCCTAGTACTAGGTAGGGATGAGAATATACATATAAGGATCACTCCCCTGGGCGATGTGGGATGTCACACGAAGAGGACAAGAACTAAGATTTTGCAAATTGGGTTGTTTTGGTCTTCACTTTTCAAGTTTGTGATTCCTGTCCACGAGTGTGCGTCTAAGCAGAATAAGATGTCGAAATAAAGTATTCTGGTTGTTGAATTATTTGATGTTTGGGGCAGTGATTGTCCCATAAGAACCAATACATTCTTGTGGCTGTGGAATACATTTCTAAGTGAGTCGAGGCAATTACAACACCTATAGCAAGGGTTAGTGGTCTTGAATTTCCTCCAAGGTATGATTTTTTTGTGTTTTCCAAGTGCTATAATCAACGGTGAATGTAAGCATTTCTTAAATAAGCCTTTTGCTGCACTCCTTGCAAAACATGGGATCACCCATTGTGTAGCCACTGCATATCATCCTTAGACATCTAGGCAGGTTGAAGACTCCAACAGAGAGATAAGGCGGATCCTAGAGAAAACAATCAACACCACTTGCAAGGATTGGAATCTAAAATTAAAAGATGCTCTCTAGGCATACAGAACAACGTATAAAACTCTGATTGGGATGTCTCCCTTTCAGCTCATATATGGGTAAACATGATCTACCTACGGAGCTAGAGCATAAGGCGTATTGGGCTATCAAATAGCTAAATTTTGCCTATGATTCTGTTGGTGATAGGTGTAAATTGCAACTCAACAAGTTAGACAAAATTCATAATGAAGAATATAAAAGTGCAAATATCTACAAGGAGAAAACTAAGGGGTTTCATGACAATCAAATTTAGAAAAGAGTTTCAACCAAGTTAAAAAAATGTTATTGTTTAATTCAAGGTTGAAGTTGTTTCCAGAGAAGTTGAAGTCCGACAGGAACGGCCAACACTAGGTTACTAAGGTTTATCCTTATAGGGTTGTTGACATTATTAATGAGTAAAGTGGTACCACATTCAAGGTGAATGATCACAAGTTGAAACCATATTTGGAGTCACCCTACGTACGATGTCACACACAAGTCAATGATTCTGAAGAAACAAGCGAGTTGACCATTAGACTTCTAGTTATAGAAATTAACTAAAGCTTTATTGGGAGGTAGCCGAATTTTCTAACACTAATGAAAAAAAATCTTGTTTGCAATAAAATTCTTGTTTGCCTAAGTCTATTTTTAATTCAAAAAAGCATTTGTTTTGTTGGATAAAAGTCCTATCTTTTCAAATCAAATTTTTTGCTTGGAGAAACTTCTATTGTGAAAAACTGAGTTGATAAAAACAGGTTATTGATTGAAAAACTTTGGGCTTTTGTAGGTTGCAATCAGGACATACAAGGCGGCCCTATTTCATCTAAGACATGCAAGGCAAATAAATAAAAACTGGATCCTGCATCCAGCAGCAATTCATTCATTCACATCAACCACAGCAGTTCTAAGACTATCATATTGCAGATAATTTAAGTAGTTCAATGCTATCGAGTTTCCCATAGAGGACAGTCGAAGTAGACACTTATGGGGTTCCTAGCCTATCATTGAATTGCTAAGTCTCTAAATCATTCCTACTCTTGTTTATCTAGCAGTTAACTCTTATGCACGTTTCTAAGCACAGTCACAGCAAGCAGTAGTTATAAAATGAGTTTTCAGAAGGCATACCAAGGCAATTCCAATGAAGCTTCTGCATTTGGATATCCAGAAACAACAAATTACAATCAAATAGAGAAGGAAAGTTAGGAAATAATTGTGAGTGATTAAAACAAAAGGCTCACTTAGCAGCTGAATGGTGTTTAGAATTGCAGGGTCCGGAAAGAAATTCGTAGTGAGCTTGACTTCATTAGACATGGCAGTATATGCTCTCTCTTCAAATCCTAAAGCATGAGAACAAAACCAAAAACGTTTAGTGAATTTTTCAAAAGATTCAAAACAGAACGAATATACAATGCTTCCAATCACTTTCTTCCTCAAAGTGATTGTAACAAAACACAATGCTGGATTAAAGAATTACCCGAATTTTGGTAGTCAAATAAGATGATATAAATTTAGATTGAGAGCAAACTCATATTTCGTTTTCTTTGTTTACACTTATCATGCATTTATGAATATGTCACCATTTTCACACAAAAATAGATATGTACGTCCATAGATAGAAAGTGACCTCAACATCATCTACTACAGAAACCTTCCCACCTACATGCGCCTTACAACTTTACTTCCTCAAGTAAAATGGCTTGGCCCAAGATCATTAAAGCGTGCAGCATTTTCAGATATATTTGCTACCTACACTTAGAAGTTTGAACTCTAGAGCAAAATTCTTATTGGTGAGGAACCCTAGAGGCTAAATAAAATCGGCCCTGGGGTGACGACTACATTAGGTGATGTTGCAACAAATTATTTACACCTAAACTGTGAGTTAAACTAGTAAACAAGGCAGTGATAGCACCTTATCTGGCGCAGATCAAGACTCAAGAATAGGTTCTTGTCCGATTTCAAAGTTATATGTTCACAGAACAATATCCATCTTCAATCCCATGTTTGACTTTGAACATGCAAAATGACAAAAGCGATTCAGCTGGTCCAGCCATAACCAAACTTGTACATCGATATTCAGCTGAATATAAGTTTTCATTACCAGTAGCCACATGATCTCATATGAACAGTCAAATAAACAAGCACACGCATACTTGAAATATAACGATAACAAATGTAACAAAAGCAAACAGAGAAATGTGAACGAGAACAGTAAGGATACCTCAGTCATCTGCTTCTGCCCGCATAACACAGCAGCTGTGGAGTGTGGAGAGAGGATTATAAATTTGCTTGGCTCTAGAAAAGCAGCCTGAAAATGTATAACCACAGAAAGCATTAATTCTGTACTTCAGAAGCGGAACCACTTTGAATGAAACTTAGAGCGGATGGGGTGAAGGTCTACCTGCACATATAACCACTTTGTCCCGTCCAACCGCCATGGGGTTGTGATAATACCAGCACAATCTCAACACCTGAAGATTCCCGGTCCTTAAATCTATCCTGTAAGACATTACAGGAACACGAAGGCGAAGTAATCAAAGTCATAAATTGAATTGGGGAAATGAAACAAAATAAACGAACAGAAATTCGTGGTTTATATACCTGATACGCCAGTTGAGATCATCTGGAAAACTGGAAGGACCATCTGACATGGAGAACCTTGTTGAGTTCCGTTCGACGTGATACTCTCACCAATAATACAATCAGAATCTCACTCGACGGGTTTGGTAGCAATATCTGGAGTACATTCTGAAAATAATGATATAATCAGAGCCTGACTTCAACTACTCAATTGAAATTCACAATGTAACAGTTTAGTTGAAAAGTTTCCCAATTTCCTTTAAGAAAATAAAAGATTAAAAAACCAAGAATTTCAGAAATTACCCACCTTGTCGCTTACGTCACTGTCCAACCGTGTTGTAATCGGGTTTTAAGTTTTAACTCAAGGAAAAGAGGGATGAAATTGAGTCAGAAAATTTCCCGATTCTACATTTTCTTGGACCGGAAACAAAATTAAAACTATAAGAAGCAGTAATAATCGAATCCGAACCTCAAATTCAACACTTTCTTGTAATTCAAAAAATTAAAAAGTGGGCAAATTGAATAAAATAAAACAAAAAGAACCTGCTTCAGAGGTCGAAGAGGGCTTGGAGTCATGATTTGGAACGAAGTTTTTGCAGTTTTGGGGAACATTTCCACCTCTTGATCTGAATTACCACTCGCTCGACGATTTAACAAGAAATTAAATCAAAAACAAGAAATAATTGGGGAGAGAGGACACTCAGGAGAGTACCTTCCATGGAATCGAATCACAGCAAGAATGCGAGTTCTAGAGAGAGAGGGTTGTGAATTTTAGACGAAGATCTCAGAGAGTTAGAGAGAGAGAAAGGGACCGTTTGTTTATAGGATCGGAGGGATTTGTGAGGGTAGTGTTTTGATTGCATCGAAGTTTGAATTGAGTGAATCTGAGCCGTCGGTTTAAATGTAAGGTAGCTCTTTCGTACTAACGGCTATAAAAGAATTTCTCGGTGGACCGCGGCCCAATGGACCCAGTCGGCGAGAAGGGAAAACAACGCCTAGTTTCACGTCATCCGTTTAATAGGATGCAATCTTCACGTTTTTTTTAAGAAAAGCTAATGAAAAGAGCTTAAAAACTTTGAATTTTAATGATAAGGACAAAATAAAGAGTAAAGTAAATAGTATCATGATTGACTTTTTGGTGTAAAAATGTGATTTTTCGTTAAAGTGAACATCACTGTAGGTTTTTCGTTAAAACTCCATTTTTTTTAGCAGTAGAACTAATTGCAAAGGCTACTATATGACATGATTATTAATAATTAAATTATTACTTAAGTATTGATTAACATGTTTCTTTTCTAATTGTGACACATTATAATATTCATAAATTTAGTCTAAAAAATTAATTTACGTAGTATTACTAAATTGTCTATGCACTTTGAAGTGTGGTTCTAATTTCCAATAAGGCGATAAAACATTCTAATTTTCACACATTAGTATCCTCAAATACAAAATGTAAGCTCTACCCATGCTACATAAACGATTAACAAAAGCCTATGAAATTATACACATTAGTAGTTTGAATGGTTGATATTTTTAACATTTATTCCGTTAATATATAAAGATTGAAAGACAATATCCCTTTATAGAAATTATTTCTAGAACTCCAGAATAATGTTAACAACCTTCTCACTTACTTTCTTATTCAACAGTTTCACTTCCACATACTACTAGCACGCAAGCTATTTTAATTATATTAACATTTTTGGGAATATTTTACCCTCCAAATAAGGACAAAGAAATAGTAATATGCATGTTTTAATAACATATTTATTAATTATCGTTTCCAATTAGTGACTAATCTATACTACATATTAATGAAACTCTTTTTGTCAATCAAAAGAAGGTAAAAAGACATTTTTATCTTCTATTACAACAAAAAAGCTAAGGACAGGTTCGTAATTTTAACAAAACAAATTTTATTATTTTTTGGTTAAACCTCACCTACACCCACAGGTGATTTTATCATTTCTAATTTTTTTTTTTTTAACTTCTCTCTCCACTCTCACGTTCTCTCTCACTCTCTTCATCTCTTCTTCAATTTTAAAAATAAAAGTAAAAAGTTTCACACACACACTTCGTGTGCAGGTATATACTAGTATAAATTAAATTTAGGGAACTTTAACGAAAAGCTTTTGATATTGTTATTTTAAAGAAAAATCACATTTTTACACTAAAAGTCAATCCTGGTACTATTCACTTTACCCTTTATTTTGTCCTTATGGTTAAAACTCAAAGTTTTCAAGCCATTTTCATTAATTTTTCTTTAAATTTATGGGTAGGAATAGAAGATGTAGAATGATGTGTTTAGGGTAGGGATGGATGTAGGGGAAGGCAAGGAGTGTTTTTGGGCAGAAAATATGAAGAATGGTGAAGTATGGCTGTGTTAGAGAGAGGGAATGAATTTCTGGCGTGAATGAATGTGTATGAGAGGTGGTGCTCTGATCTAGGGGTTAATATGAGTATATATAGGCACTTAGAACCCTAGGGAAATCAGATATGGACTTGAAATAATTAATGGGAGAGCATGGGAGTGCATGTGGCTGATTTGTGGTGCAATGATGAAAGGCAAAGTGCATGTGGCTGATTTGTGGTGCAATGATTAATCAGTGGTGCAATGATGAAAAGGCAAAGTGCATGTGGCTGATTTGTGGTGCAATGATGAAAGGATGGAAGTGCATGTGGCTGCAATGGATTAAAGGATAGGAGTGCATGTGGCTGCAATGGATTAAAGGATGGGAGTGCATGTGGCTGAAATGTAGCCTTCTAGAAATCAGGTTTTTAGGCCCCCTTGCAACTCCCTAACTGAATTCAAGCCTTTCAAATTCGTCCATCCTCATGCCACCATGCTTGCACTATCCAATCTTGGCCCAAAAATGCTCTAGAATGCTCCAAATTGCTTCTTTTTGCATACTTTGACACTAAAACCTGAAATTGCACGAAAATAACTTTAAACACTATAATTAACATAGTTTAGCTAATTAAATGCAAGAAAACAAGCTAACTAAGTCGTATAAATATGCTCCTATCAATGTGCAAATGGCTTGCATGTTCTTAACATGAAACCAGCTATTATAAACTACATATTAATGAAACTTTCTTTATCAACAAAGACATTTCGTCTTTTATCACAACAATAAAGTTAAGAAGAATAACATAATTTCATAAAACTAAAAAATTTGTTGTTTTTGTTTAAACCTCACATAGAGGTGATTTTATCATCTCTAATTTACAAAATAAAAAAAATAAAAAAATAAATCTCTCTCCCTCTCTCCCCGGTTCTCTCTCACTCTCTTCCTCTTTCCTTCAATTAAAAAAACAAAATAAAACAAACAAACAAACACATGTGGGCATATACTAGTTATAGTACATAAAAATTTGGTGAGAGAGTTGACAAAGTGGACCTACTTATTACTTGAATAACATGGTAAAGAAATCGTAGTCCAGTAATTGGGAAAATGTCCTTTGTATTAAGAAAATTGTTGTGGTTGGCATGGTTGATATTCAACTTAAATTTAATTATTTTAACTCAAAAATAATTTTTGAGTCTCAACCTTAAAATTTTTGTTTAGTTGAATTATTTTTTTAAGATTATAATTCTGAACGAAAATATATTTAACTCATTTAGTCAAAGATGACTTAACATATTTGACAAAACTCCGTTGACGCCACCCATTATTTATTTCCATACCCTTGGCTCTTTCTACAACTCTGTCAGAAGGCGGCCGGACTTGCACAACAATGTTGTTAGACATATAAACTTGTGCTACTTCAGTGTGAGTTAAAACCACACAATCTAAGAAATGAGTTCCAATATTGTAGTCTGTAATAAGCCTCATGCTGTATGCATTCCCCTTCCATTACAAAGCCATATAAAGGCTATGCTCAAGTTAGCAAAGCTCCTACACTACAGAGGTTTTCATGTAACTTTTGTCAATACGGAGTTCAACCACAGGCGCTTTCTTAAATCTTTAGGACCAAATTCTGTTGATGACTTCCCCGATTTTCGGTTTCAAACAATTCCAGATGGCCTTCCAGATTCAGAGGCTGATGCAACAACCCAAAACATCCCTTCGCTATGTGATTCCATGAGAAAAAATTTCTTGGCTCCATTTCGTAACCTCCTCTTGAAACTCAATGAAGCGGCGAGTTCCAACAACAGTGTTGGTCCTCCAGTGACTTCCATTGTTTCAGATGGTTTCATGCCTTTTGCCATCACAGCTGCTGAGGAACTTGGACTCCCTATCGCAGTGTTCTTCACTTCGGCTGCGGTCGGATTCATGGGCTGTAAGCAATACCCTACTTTGGTGGAAAAAGGACTTGCACCACTCAAAGGTCAGATATATAAATGCTAATGAAGCAACTGTTTGATTTTATGGTGAACTGGTTGTTCCTAAACAAATAATGAAATTTCGTAGACTTATTTAAGTGTTGCGTTGCAGATGAGAGTTATTTCACAAATGGTTTTCTGGATAAGGTCATAGATTGGATTCCAGGAGTAAAAGCTATACGTTTAAGGGATCTTCCGGCTTCCTTTCAAACTACTAATCCCAATGACATCAAGTTTAACTTCACCTTGGAAGCAGCTGTTGGAGTTCATAAAGCTTCAGCAGTTGTTGTTCATACTTTTGATGCGTTGGAGCCAGATGTTTTGGATGCTTTGTCATCTATGCTTCCACATGTTTACGCTGTTGGCCCTCTCCAGTTGCTTCTCAATCAGATACCAGAAGACCCTTTGGAGCCTATGGGTTATAGTCTGCGGAAAGAAGAAACAGAGTGCCTCGAATGGTTAAACGCCAAGGCGCCAAACTCTGTTGTTTATGTGAATTTTGGCAGTTTAGCGGTTGTCACGGCACAACATCTTATTGAGTTTGGTTGGGGACTTGCAAATAGCAAGCTTCCATTCTTTTGGGTAATAAGACCTGATTTGGTAGCTGGTGAATCGGCGATTTTTCCACACGAGTTTGTGGCTGAAACTATGGAAAGAGGTCTAATAACAAGTTGGTGCCCACAGGAGCAAGTCCTTAACCATCCATCAGTTGGAGGGTTTTTAACACACAGTGGGTGGAATTCAACCATTGAGAGTCTGTCTGCTGGAGTGCCTATGCTCTGTTGTCCCTTATTCGGCGAACAACGAACAAATTGTTTCTATACTTGTAGTGAATGGGGCATTGGCATGGAGATCAGTAAGGATGCCAAGAGAGACGATGTCGAGAAGATTGTCAAAGAGATGCTTGTGGGAGAGAAGGGTAAGAAAATGAAAAACAAGGCCATGGAGTTGAAGAAACTAGCAGAAAAGGCAACTGATCCACATGGCTCTTCATGGACCAACTTAGACAATTTAGTGAATCAAGTGCTATTAAGGAAAGGCTAGGTGTTGTCCCTGGCAACCTTTATTGGGCTTAACTTTGTTGTTATCGATGTTATTGTTGGTCTTAATTAACTTACAAAAATGTAGTGCTTAGAGGCTATTGTGTGTTGTCTAAAACAAACTATTCCTATAGGTAATACCACCTGTTAGATTGACTTCTTTTAGAGTGTATATGAAGTTACTGACCTGCGGTGGTTTTTATGGGATTTATGTTTAATTTATTATTGCCCACAACTATATTTTGGTTCATTCTTTATCTTTTTTGACAGAGTTGGTATAGTCTTTTCACCTCTTTTTAGTTGAGAGCTTCGTTAATAGGTGGAAGCCGGACTGTTCCAAACAATCCAAATGAATTGTTCCACTAATGAAAATACATAAACCCGGACCGGCTCGGGCTCATTACAGAAAAACAAGTCGAGTCCTAATCCACCAAAAATGAACCTGGCTCAACTTGCACCTTGTCACCCCCCCCCCCCTAATCCCAACATATGTCCAAGATCAACACATGATGTCACCAAGTATCCATATATCTAACATACCCCACCTCCGGGATATGTGTAAAGCACAGCTAACAATCCAAATTGCGTAGTAATTTTCGTATACTTTATGGCTGAATCTAACCTCCTCGTTAGACTGCCTACGTACCCTAAACAGGGATCAAGCCATTCGTAGTTTGTTCTTCACTATACTCGAACAATCATCACATAATTCACTATGTCTCAACATAAAACAACACTACAGGCATGTAACATCACTAGGAACATTCAACAAAGCGCAACATAATCTTTAGCCACATTGGTCAACGAGTCTAATCATAATCATAACAACTATATCCAACAGCATTCAATAATCACACCAAACAATAACATGTACAAAACATTGAAATGCGGGGCTAGAGCAACACAGTTCGGCCGAAGTCTACGTCTCTAAAGAATGGGATTAAAACCAAGGAACCAACAACTCAAATGATGCGATTTTGGTCCACTCAACGAAACCAAGAAACCAAAAGGGATTCTGGACCACTCAACAGAATCCAAACCAGGATACGATTTCGAACCACTCAGCGGAATCCAACTAAAATATGTCACCTACTGAAATGTCCCTAGTACCATTAATCCTCATCACCCCTGGTATGCGTATGGCGCCCCATCGCAGATTTACAAAGAAGAACCGTAAGCATAATCTCATCGTACATGCAGTGATCATCCATCGCGGATATAACAAGCATGACCACCCCTGAATACGTATGGTCCCTTATCGCGGATATACCAAGCAGAACCACATCCTAACTCTAGGTAGTAATCACTCATCACGGATATACCAAGCATGATCACTCCTAGAATACATATGGTCCCCGATCGCGGATAAACCAAGCACAACCATAAGCATAGTCTAATAACGTAGGCAATGATCACCCATCGCGAATATACCAAGTATGATCACCCTTATCAGTCCCCCATAGAGGATATACCAAGCACGATTGTATCATATAGCTCTAGGTAATGATCACCTATCGCAGATATACCAAGTATGATCACTCCTAGGATGTGGTCCCCCATCGTGGATATACTAAGCATAATCACCCCTGAAATACGTATGGTCCCCCTTGACGAATATACCAAGCAGGATGACATTCCAACTCTAGGTAGTGATCACCCATCGCGAATATACCAAGCATGATCACTCCTAGAATGCATCTGGTCCCTCATCGCGGATAAGCAAAACAGAACCATAGGCATAGTCTAATAACGTAGGTAGTGATCACCCATCGCGGATATACCGAGGATGATCACCCCTAACAATCCCCCTATCATGGATATACCAAGCATAACTGTCTAAGCATCACTGCTACCTGGTATAATCAGTTCAACACACAATCTACCCTTACCTCAATCCCTCTGATTTCCAAAGTAGGCACATGCACTATCAACTTCTCATGACCACTAACTATCTTGTCATACAAGCATAAAAGTTCTACATAAGACTTCTAATACGATTCTAGGTTCACATCATCATAAAAATAATCATACACATCATTCATATTATCAAGAATTTAAATATACAAATGCATGTCACAATAAGGCATTCCAATCACGTAAACCGAGGTAAGCATTAACTGGAATAGCTTACTAACCAAGATTGGTCTGCTAGGCTCTATTAGGTTTCTAGTCATACTAAACTCATCATTTACAAACGATTCGGAACATTTTATCCGAAAGTCAACCCTCGGTCGACATTGTCACTCGTAGGATCAACAATCCTACCTAACTCAGTTTGAAAGATCCGCCCACGAATCTCCAATCCACAACTTCCCAATAGTTTCATTAAGCATCTAGAACAAAATCCTAAAGTTTTGGAACGATTCAACGGTCAGATCTCCGTCAATCGATAAAATTACGTGGCGGCCGACATTTAATTTTACAAACTTAGGAAACCAATCTGGAAAGATCCATACATCAAATTCCTGATCCGTCAGCTCCTAATATCCTCAAATATTATGTACTATTACGTATTTATATTTAGTGCTGATCTAACGGTCAGATCGTTAATTCATATAATGTCCAAGTGGTGATCTCTATCAAAACTATAATCATACGATGAGATTTCATCAATCAAACATCACATATGGAATCAGGGTATCCAAATTAGTCTAGGAAGGGCAGGTGGGGTCTCGGCCCACACACCGCCGCACATGGCAATCGGCCGCCCCGTTTTGCCGGAAAATTTAACTATTTCCGAAAATTTCCAAATTTTATAGGCATGTAGATCTCAGTGAGAGGAGAAATTTTCATACCTGGGTCGAAATCCAATTCGGTTAGGAAACACCTGAAATTGCCCATGAACCGCCGGAACCCTAGAATTGGGTGTGCTTCAATTCGACCTCCATACTCGCTCGGACACCTCCACCATTGCTTGGGCTTAGTTTCTAAGGTTGAGGGGAGCCTATTGGTTGTGGTGCTCGGTCTGGTCGTGCGGGTCAAGGGGAACCCGGTTTTCCCCCTCACTTTCTCCTTCCCTCCTTTCCTTCCTTTCCCTTGTCTCTCATTCATCCATATCTCCCTCTTCTCTCCTAATCGGTTCATCCTTTTTTCTCTAATTGGGCAGCCAATGCCCTCCTCCCTCACTCTCCCACACCTCTCCTTTTTTTCCCCTCTTCTTCACTGCCATTAGGCAGCTTCTTTTTCTTTTCTTTTTTTTTCTTTTTTTTTTCTTCCCAGCCACTCATTGGCTTCCCTGCATTGAGTTTGATTGGTCAGCCCTCCCATAAGGTGGGAATTCACTACAAAAACATGAATCTGAATGCCCCGTAACTTTTCCATTATAATCTGGATTCAAAATCGGCTTTCACTTTTGCGCTCGTGGTTTCGAAATCTATTCGAAAACACTAATTGTGACCTCGAAAGGTCAACAAATTTTTAAGATTAATTACAAAAATTCAAACCCGATAACTATTCGATTTAATTCTCAAAATTTACGGAATTAAAATTAACTAATAAAGATAACGTAAACGTAAATTACAAATTTAAATTACGAGATACATAACGGATAGTGAAATTCCAGAGACGGGATTTCACACACCCACTTCTACTTGCAAGTGGTTTGTAGCTCAGTTAGTTAAGAGCATCTGTCCTTGCACCTGAGATTCTGGATTCGAATTTCCCTTCCCTGTAGTTTAATGTACATTATCCTATCATTTGTCAGAAAAAAAAATGAGAAAAAATGATAATGGTAAATAACAGTTAATTTGATAGTTAGATCGTATGTAGAGACGAGTAATGATATAACAATATTTTACAATAAGGGGTGAGAGAAATAAATTGATATCGAACTCAACATTCACAATATTTGAAACTAAAACCTTTTACTTATAAATGAATAAAAATAACATTATACTGTAATACAAAGTGCTATATGCATGCATTGTTTTCAGTACATCCTTCTATCGAAGCCAAATTGACTAAGCTGAAAACTACTGCTCATTTTATATCTAAAAACACAACTGTATGCAATCAAACATGATTAATCAAATCTCTAGCGCGAAGGAACATATTAGGCAATCATATATAATGGAAGAAAAAAAATTGGCAAAATACACATGTCGAATACACTAATTAATACAATGCTTAATGTGCCAAGGAAATGAAGCAAAAAGTGTGAAGGAAACAATTGCAAGGGCTCACATTTGGTCTGATTCAGATGTCCGTTCCCCTGCCGGTTACCGGCGAGACTAACGTTTCCATGTAAACCGCGACTTCCGACTGAGTCCCGACAGCAATGTTTCTAAACGTCTTTCCCTTCGGATTATACAACGCCAATATGTTTCGCTTGTAGTCCAACAAAACTTCATCATTCTCTAAAATGCACAGAGGCTTGAAAGATTCGTTGCGCTCGTCAGGTAGGATCCGATCCAAAGAAATTTTCAGGACTTTAGTCCAAGATTTTGCGACTCCGTACTCCTTCATCACCCATATCCGAAGATCCGTCTCCATCGAGTATGAATACACAAATAGACAATTTTTACCAACACCAACTCCCACAAAGACATAGTTATTGTTGCCAAGGTAGGGCAACGGCAACATCTCCTTAAATTTCTCCTCTGCTAAATCGAAAGACAAAATTCGCGAAGCAACCATACTAACTTCTACCCAATGTAGAGCTCCGTTTAAGAAGCAACCCTTCCCTTTCAAGTGAATATAATTGCCGTGATCATCATCAGCACTCCTCCTCCATGAATCGGATTTGAGTGAGAAAACTTGAATCGTGACTTCTTTAGAACCAAGTGTTGTTTTAGACGATCCTCGGATTACCTTGTAATCATCCGTGGTGGAATCATACCCGAATCCATAAATCAGCGAACCGGAATAAAGAGGTTTTGGTAATACCTTGGACTGCCCAGTACAAGGATTCCATATGATAATTTTGTTGCAGTTTACTTGTAGACATATCAAGCCGTTGCAGGAACCCACAATTCGTGTAAGAACAATATCCGGGATCCTCACTGGAAAATCAAGCTCTTTACCTGTAACACGAACATGAGAATCACTCTGCTGATCAGTCAATGCGACGTGGACAATGGAGTGGATACGCGTGGATGAGAAAAAGAGGGTGAAGGTTCTGTTGTTCATGCATGTGAGTACAGCGTGGCTGAGGTGCTTCGTAACGAAATGAGGATTGGAGATTAAAGCGCACCATGACTTGCATACACACCGAAATTGGAGTAAAGATCTGACTGGGAGCCTTGAGAGGATCTCGATAATAATGTCTTTGTAGTCAATGAGAGGTACTCGTTGACGGAGTTTACCATCAGAGGGGGGAGGTTGCTTCAGCTGCCGGGGGCTATTGGGGCCGTCCGCCGTGGTAGTGTTGCTTCCAGCTGCTGGCGGGAGTTTCGAAGTGGAGATTCTTGGAAAAAGGCGGTAAATACAAGAACAACACTCTGATTTTGTCATTGCAGAAAGCATTGTGTCGACAAGGTACTTCATGAACTATATATAAAAAATGGGAATGTCCGAATGAACCCACATATTTCATTACTACACCCAAGCTTTAAAAATAATTTTAATAAAAATTTTACTCTCTAAACTGTACAATTATAAAAAATTAAAACTAAAAAAAAAAAAGTTATAGACAAATCAAATTTCGTGAGATCGCTTAGGGTCTGTTTGGTATCCTATTAAAAAAATTCATTATTTCTCAAAACATTTCTTAAGAATATCTTTTGAAAACAATTTTCTTTAAAACTCAAAAACTTGTTTTGTATGAGATTTTAAAAATTTTAAATCTTAAAACTTAAACTAAACAAATAGATCCAAAGAGAGGGAGTCGAAGGGAGAAAGAAGAGAGAGGAGGAGAGAAAGTAAGAAAGGATCGGAAGAGAGAGAAAGAATAGAGAGGATTAGAGGAGATAGAGAGGAGTTGGAGGAGGAGAGAGAACGAAGAGAGGGGATTTGAGGAGAGGGAAAGAAGAGAGAGAAAAAAAAAGAGAAGGATAGAAGAAAAGAGAGAGAGAGAGAGAGAGAGAGAGAGATTCGCAGTGAGAGGGGAAGAGAGCGGGAAAAGAAAGGAGTGAGATTTAAATTTAAGTACTGTAAAAACTCACTTTTGGTGTTTTTAGAGAGTAGACTATTTTTAAGTTAGCTAGTCTTAAGTTCAGTTTTTTAAAATATTCTTGCCAAACAACTGTTTAATGACTAAAACTTGAAAAGTGTTTCTGAGTTGAAAAGTTTGATTCAAATAAAGTATTAAACAGGGCCCTAGCTTGTTTCTTCTTCGAAAGCTATGCACTTCTACCAGCTTTTCATTCAATTGCCTTCAAATTTTATTGGAAGTTCCTGTTGTAAACTAGACCAAACAATCAAGTAATAAATAAAACATACAACACGATTTAGAGTTCCTCCAATATAGGAGTACCTAACGGAAGCTTTATTGATTATTAACAAATACAAGAGAACTCATAAACAGAAAGCACTCTCACGTATACAAACTTATGCCACTCAAACTCACATACAAAATCTCTCCCAAAGCCATCTATTTATACAATAGATGTCGTGGGTTTTATAGAAATCCTATAGAATATAGGAAACCAAATCATAGACTAAAACCAAATCCAAAACAAACTAGAAAGTTGTACTCAATGATAACATGTGTCCAAGTTATCCCAGCCCTACACCTTTCCTAATTCTTGTTTTGGTTTAGGCACATGTTGATTTAATGCCAAATCCAACAATTTCCACCTTGGCATGAAATCCATACTGAGGCATCCAACATAACAGCTTCCGTTGCTCCACCATAATTGCAAGATCAAACTTGCTTCATCTGCACCAAATATAAACAGTGCTTGAACTTGGCTGCATTAACCACCTTTGTTAACATGTCAGCTGGGTTATCTTCTGTAGCAACCTTCTGGAGACGTATCTCATCTTCAGCTATCACTTCTCTCTAAGATGGTATCGTTTATCAATGTACTTAGTCCTTGGATGATGTACTTGGTACCTAGCCAAATAAATTGCACTTTGACTATCACAATATACCACCAACTTGTGTGGTTCCACACCTAAGTCTCCTAACAACCCAGAGTCCAGATTGCTTATTTGATGGCTTCAGAGATTGCCATGTATTCTGCTTCTGTGGTTGATATTTTGCCATTGTTCGTTGTAGTCTTGATACCTTAGTATCCATTTAGCAGCATTCCAATGCTCTCTTCCAGGATTAAACATGAACCTACTGACAATTGTAGCTACGTGTGTAATATCAGGACAAATGCATATCATACCGTACATTAATCCTCCAACCAAATTAACATATGGAACACCTTCCATCTTCATCTTTTCTTCATCTGTTTTGAAACATTTTTGCTGCTCAACTTAAAGTGAGAGGCTAATGGAGTTCTCACAAGCTTAGTGTCTTCTGTTACTCCAAACTTTTGTTCTCAAGATATTGCTTCTGAGAGAAGCACTCTAAACCTTTCTGTCAATCCCTTGTGATCTTCACTCCCAATATTTTATTGGCTTCACCGGGATCCTTCATTTCAAATTCCCTTTTCATTTGTCCTTTCAACTAGTCTATCTTTGTCGCCTACATAAATGAACCATCTTCAACCTTATGTGATAAACACAGCGATCATAGTGACTTTTTGTATAGTCTTGACCCTTCAAAAACTTGTCAAATCTTAAACACCACTGCCTGGACGACTGCTTCAAACTATAGAGAGATTTCTTAAGCTTTCAAACCAATCTTTATTTTTCTTTCTCTTGGTGCCCCTCTGTTGTCTCATATAAATCTCTTCGACCAAATTCATATGAAGGAATGTAGTTTTTACGTCTGGTTGTACTAACTCAAGGTTGAATTGTGCAACTAGGACAAGCAATATTTGAATGGAGGAGTGCTTAACCACAGGAGAAAATATCTCATTGTAATTATCCATTTCCTACTTCTGAGCATATCCTTTAGCCACTAACCTAGCTTTTGAATCTTACCAAGCTCTTGTCATCCATTCCATCCTTCTTTGCATAAACACACTTGCAACCTAGTGCTTTCTTTCCTTTAGACAGCTCCACCAATTCTCAAGTTTTGTTCTTGTGAAGAGGGAACATCTCATCATCTATTGCCTCACGACATAGACTCTCTTTTTCACTGTTTGATGCTTCTTCAAAGTTTGTGGGAATTTTAGCCTCAATTATAGCAGTGCATATACCATGCTCGCCATGCAATCCTTGTATTTGTAGGTAGGGATGTTTCCCTTTTTCCCTTCCTTTTGGCTATGCAATTATCTTGTGTCTTCAGTTCTTTTGGTGTTGTCTCTTCTTCATGAACACTCTCTTCAAATTCATGTTGATCTCCTGTCTTTCTTCTTCCACAACTTCTTCCCTTGGCTTTGAGTTCATGATGACTTGTTCCTCAAGCTCTAACATTTGAACATCTTCTTTTAACTTCATGTAACTTTCATTAAACATCACGTCTTTGCTAACTATAATCTTATTCAACTCAGGACACCAAAGTCTAAAACCTTTCACATTACTATTAAATCCCATAAATACAACTTTCTTTGCTCGTGGATCCAATTTATTTTCCTTCACATGAATGTGAGCACTGCATCCAAAAAAATCAAAGTTTATCGTAATCCTGAGCTGGTTCTCCAAACCACAATTCAATTGGTATTTTTGGCTTTAATGTAGCAGATGGCAATCAGTTCAAAATACGACATGCATAGGTTAGAGCTTCTACCCAAAATCTCTTCGGCAACTTAACTTGAGACACCAAATAACGAACCTTCTCGAGCAAAGTTCTATTTAGTCTCTTAGCAATCCCATTATGTTGTGGAGTATGTCTGACGTTGAAATGGCAAGTGATTCCTTACTTCCTTCTTTCTTATATAGAACACTCACAATGATTTTTACACAAACATGCTTGTAGTTCTGCTAAAATTTTTGTATTCTTACAACTTAATTTCCTTTTGAGAGATGGAAGATCTAACCATTCTATGGGGTTCTTCTTCCTAAGAGCCATTTTGAGAGATGAAAAACCAGTGACACCATTGTATGGGGTTCTTCCTAAGAGTCATTTTGAGAGATGAAAGACCAGTGACACCGTTATAAACAAAAAAGACTTGTTTTCATTATTAATTGAACTTAGACATGGCTACTTAGTCAAAGGGCTTGGATTTCATCTCTCTACCATTGAAGAAGGCAAGAACAATCTCAACTCTTCAGTTTTCATAAGCACTTAGACTCCCAAAGATTGCATTAGGAACTGCGGCAATGACCACACACACAACCATAACTAAATTTAATCTTAAGCCTAAAATGAATTTAGTTTAAAAGCAGAAGATGCAATTCAAAGGAACATACGAATAGAAACAGACACAAACTATAAGTGATGCAACCTTTGAATGTAGACATCTCTGCACGAATAAAACTTACAGCCTTCAAGTTCGTTAAGGTCTTGTGAACTAAAAACATTTTAATCAAACATCAAGCAGAAAGAAGGCACATAAATATAAGAAACTCTACAATCACCAAATTCTTGTTCATAAACCCTAAAAAAAATTTAAATCAAATGGAAAAAACTTGCATAAACCAATTCATGCATTAGTTGGAAGATTCAAAACTTCAATATGCATTGGTAGAAAAAGTTTGTTTTTCTCTTAGAAAGCGTTTTAAGGTTTTAACATAAGATAAAGATTGTGTGGGTTTATTGATAAATTTTAGTTTTATTAAATTTTGGGAGCTGACGGGGTTTAAACCCATGTCGTGGTGCAAGGGTAACACTTCTCTCCATTACTGTGGTAAATGGCCACTTGCTAGAGTGAGATTATATGAATTCATAAAATTTTCCAACATCACTTTGTACTCCGATTCAGAGGTATTCTTCATCACTTGTAAATGAAAGGTCTTAGAATTGATTCTCGCCAAAAACGAATTTGTGCCACATTATTGCTATCCTCATTGTGAGGTTTAGCACACTCATCCACCCTCTAGTGTACATAATATTGTTTGTTTTAAAAAAAAAAAAAATTCCCAACAAAAAGTTGACTACCCTCAAGTTTGTTTTTTTTTTTTATCAACTATGTAAAAGAAAACAGTAAATTTTAGCAATAGTTCCTTAACTTTAATCAAATTGGATCAATGATCTCTCAACTAAAAATCTATTACCATTCGTTCTTTAACTCATCAAAGTGTATAGTTATGGTCATTTTCAGTCAACTTCGTCAGAATTTTGTCAAAATAAGTTATGTTAGAAAGAACATTACTACAATTGGGTTAAACTTGAGAGACTATTTCTCAAATTAGGTTAATGTGGAAAGACAATTTCTCCATTTGAATTCAAGTTGATGGACCATTAGTAATGAATTTTTAGTTAAGAGACTATAGTTGCATGTTTTGATGAGTTGATGAACCAATGATAATGAATTTTTTATTAAAAGATCATTACTTCAATTGAATTAAAGTTAATGGACCATTACTACAATTTATTCTAAAAGAAAATGACCCTAGAAATCTTGAAGAAATTAAAATAGTTAAGGAAGGCGCGAGCTCAGGAGAAGACTAAGTTAGACGCGCGCGCACCATAACCCAACTCAGAACTATAAAAGCAGCGGAGTCCAACAGCTACGATTCTCCAGACTTTGGTCTTCGGTCTTCCGGAGCGCAAAATTTGGGCGACTCATTAAAAAAAAATCTACTGGTACGCCTCCCTCCATCCTTCAATTCCAATTAAATCCGATCCTCTCTCCTCTCCCTCTCTAAAAAAGCACCTTGATTTTGATTTGATTGGAATCATTGAATCCAAGTAAGTTTTTGATGCTTCAAAAGTTGAAATTTTTGAAAATGATGCAGGATTTGTGTAACTTTATCGGTTGTTGTTGGTGAAAATCGCGGTAAAAAATGGGGGTTAAACAAGCGTTAAAGAGCCTGGATGCGTTTCCTCGGGCGGAGGAGCACTTGCTGCAGAAAACACAATCGGGGGCACTCGGTAATTCTTCAGATTTTCGTCTTGGTTTTGTATTTGGGTTTTTTGTGAGTTGTGTTTTGGATTGGAAATTTATTGGCGTTTTTATTTTATTTTTTTATTTTGTAGTTTCTGTTGTTGGGCTGCTTATAATGGCGACATTGTTTGTGCACGAGCTTAGATATTATCTCACTACATATACCGTCCATCAGGTTCGAATTTCGAATGCATTGCTTTTGTTTTTGGGGGATTTTGTAAGGTAAATAAGTGGGTAATGAATTGAAAGAAATGTCATTGCCAAGAGATTGTAAGTTGTCTAATTGAAAAAGTTGTGTTTTTGGCAGATGTCTGTAGACTTGAAGCGCGGAGAGACTCTTCCGATTCACATAAATATGACATTTCCAGCTTTACCTTGTGATGGTTAGCATGTTTTTTTTTTTTTTTTTTTTTTTTTTTTTTTTTCTCTTGCTATTTAAGTGAATGTCGATTTCTTTGTAGGCTAATATGTTCATCATTTGGTAGCTTTGTGTGATGATAATCTTCGGTTTTCAACGTTTGATTGCAGTCTTGAGTGTTGATGCAGTCGATATGTCAGGCAAGCATGAAGTAGATCTTGATACAAACATATGGAAAGTAAGAGACTTTATTGATTCTTATGTATTTTCCTTTTCTTGATATTGGGGTGCAATGTGATATGGTGTTTCATGTCAAAAAGTAAAGAACTGCATTTGTACAATGATAGAAAAAGTGTTATATCTGTTTAAACTTTTATGAATGTATTACAAAGGTTTTGGCTTCTAAGTCTTATCTTCACGTTTGTCATACACATGCTGCACATTGTTTGTTAGGTACCAATTTAACTGTTCAAGTATGAGACTTTGATTCAAGCGAACATAATTCGTTTAACCTGCACCACTTCATATGGGATTCTTTGGATCTTCCTTTACTTAGTGCTTTCTCAAGCCTTTTTTCTGGTGATTCTTTGCTGGGCCATCATCGGTTGGTAGTGATGACTATTTTTGTTCTTTCCTTTGATCCACTGTCTTAAATTTCATTTAGCTATTAGACTACCTTTACCCATGCATTTATATAGTAAAATTTAGTTTTCAAAATTGGCAACTTGTGATCTGTCTCTGTCCTTCCCTTCTCTCATAGTTATTCTCCTAACCAGTTTAGAGTGGCTGCAGCTTCGCCTGAACAGTCATGGACACATCATCGGCACTGAATATGTGTCTGACCTTGTTGAAAAGGAGCATTCTCACAAGCACGGTAACATCTGTGTTGCATTGCATATCACATTTTGTTATGATTGTATGTCTTGCTTTTTAGATTTTCGTTTTCTGATAAAGAACCTTGGCCAGATGACGGCAAAGATCATCATGACGATAAGGACAAGGAAGTTTATCCACAAGGAGCTTTTGATCAAGCTGCAGAAGATCTTATCAAGAGGGTAAAGCATGCAATAGCAAATGGAGAAGGATGCCGGGTATATTCATAACACAGATCTCCATTTTTTGTACTAATGAACTGCACTTGCTCCTTCTGATATTGCATATATCTGATATAAAATTTTGCTGCAGGTTTTTGGTGTTTTAGATGTCCAAAGGGTTGCTGGAAACTTTCATATATCAGTTCATGGGTTAAACATTTTTGCTGCGCAAATGGTTAGTTTGCCTTAATATCTTGTTTTCTTCTCCCTACAATTTCTTTCCATTTTGTGGTGAAAGAATTCCATGTGTTCTAGAACATGCAGAGTGATGTGCCTGGTCTGAAGTACTTATGGTTGATCCAAATTATCGTCCCCTGAATGAAAATTTTGATAAAATTTGGTTTTTGGCATTTTGAACTGCCAAACCATAGGATCGGTTCATTTTGACTTGATAAACTCTTGTTTAAGTCCTATTAGATATCTTTAATTTTTTTCAACTTTTTGGGTTTCGAAATGATATGGGGATTGAAGGTGCTTGAGTAAACTTATCCGTCTCAATTTTGTATCATGGGGGTGCTTTGTGGATCAGTATTGTGCCAACTAGCTTTTTTTCCTATAGCATATCTTTAAAGCTTGCTACTCTAGTTTATTACAGCTTCCAACTAACTGTTTCTGTGCAGATTTTTGAAGGATCTAGAAATGTAAATGTAAGCCACATCATACATGACTTGTCGTTTGGCCCAAAATATCCAGGAATTCACAACCCACTTGATGGGACAGACCGAATTTTGCATGACACAAGTGGCACATTCAAATATTATATAAAGGTTTCAAACTTGAACTTCATCTGGGTTAATATAAAGCTATTTGGTAGATCTAAATATCTGGTATCTGCAATATACACTGGCCTATTTCATGCACGTCTGTGCAAGAATGCTTGCTTGAGTCTAAGCCTTAAAATGAACGCTATTTTTTCTTTCCCTTCTGTTACTTCTGGAAGATAAAGTAGTTGTCCCATATTTTAACTCAGATAGGTGAGATTCAAAGCAAGAAAGTTTCCCGGCTAGGAAGAGACTTGCATCCAAAAAGGCATACTAGCCAAGAACTTGTCTTTCCCATCAAGAATTTGTACTGTTTCTTTCATTAAGTGGTTTGCAATACTTTACTAATGCCGAAATACATTGAGTAATGGTATTCGTTACCTTTTTCTCGAATTAATAATTATGTCTCTGTTCAGAAATGGATACCTGAATTGATTTTATCACAATAATTATACCTAACGTCTATAAGAAAGTTCTACACTTCCCCGGGGCTGTATCCTGTCAGTTCTTCTGCCTCAACAGTGAGGCATGACATGCGTACTCCTTACCTTTAGAATAAAAAAGTCAATCAAACATGTGTGGCAATGTCATTACCAACCAAATATTAGTTATTTGATCTGATTTTTGTATTGTTAATTGGTTAGTTCCTTATCAAAGTGTAATGGGAGTTTTGCTTCATTTGTCAGTTGGCGTTTTGATATAGTTCAGCACCATAAGTCGTGAACGTGAAGAGGATTCAGAGGATTCGTTTTTAGAAATATTAAGCATCTGTCTTCAAACTAATGTTTTCAAACGATCCAATTGCTAGGAAAAGAAAACCAGAAGGATTTGTTTCATGTTCTGATATATTCTTTATAGACGGTTTTCGTGAATAAATTAGCAAGCTTGATGATCTATGCTGAAAATGTTTGCTTTCGTTGCCGTGCAGATTGTTCCAACTGAATATAGGTATATCTCAAAAGAAGTTTTGCCAACCAACCAATTCTCTGTCACAGAATATTTCTCTCCTATGAAGCAGTTTGATAGGACATGGCCAGGTTGGTTATAGGAAGTTTATTTGTCTGTCCCTTTTATTGAGTTCATGGTGTTAATTATCGACCCTGTTTGTTTGTGTCCAGCTGTATACTTCCTGTATGATCTCTCACCAATTACTGTAACTATCAAAGAAGAACGCCGCAGTTTTCTCCATTTCATCACTCGGCTTTGTGCTGTATTGGGCGGTACCTTTGCTTTGACAGGTTTGTGTTTTTTGCTCATTCTGTATCATTTTATTCAAGTCAACATTATCAAAATATACCGTGGATTTGGAACTTCCGTTTCTGCTTATTGAAGTTCCAACTAATCGATCTGCTCTACGTCAGAGTCTAGGCCATCAAAGTTGAAGCTTCCATTTGTACCATATTTTGTTGCAGATGGGAGGGTCTTTTTTCATTAATTACCCATTCCATTTAACTCTGTTATTCCTTCTCTTGCATCAGGACTGCTAGACCGATGGATGTACAGGTTTGTTGAAGCATTGATGGCCAAACCACATGCTAGAAGTGTACTGCGATAAACTCTGGGAGTCTGCTAATACAATTTACTCAAGCGCATCTCCAGATGGACACTAACGTTTCCCGGTTAGCAAGTGACATTGGATGTAAAACGGAGGTGAGAGCTGAAATGTGCATTACTGCTCATGTAACTCACTTTTTTGCTCCCCCTCTTAGTGGTGATGACCAATATGTGAATACATTGGCATCTCTTTATACATGTTATTATTATTATAGTTTTTGATCTGCCGGAGGGGAACTCATGGTTGTTGTAGCTAGATTGATACACGCAGGATTCTTTACAGATTCCTTCAATTTATGTAGTTTCGATTTAGGCACTGTTCAAATTTTGCTGAGATGTTATGAGCAGTTCTAAGCTCGTGCTATTAACTTTTTGTAGAAAAAATATCTCGTTCCATTTATCAAAATCTTGCACTCTATGGGAATTATCTTCAATTGAATTCTGCTAACAATCGAGGGCGGTGATGTGTGTGATGAGTTACCGTCGTTACCAAAGACGGTATCGGCGGTTACTCGTTTTTAAGAATGTTCAAACTTATAAGTTAATGTGATGGGCAAACCTGGGCCGACCTGCTTCGCGCCAAGGCCTATTTACTTATGTCAACTTCTGTAACAAGCGTCATTTTTGTCCTAATTACACTTCTGAAAACCTCTACCTAGCTCTCCTAAAGTTTTGCATAGACGTTACATGGTTGACCACCGACGTGATTAGGTTCTAGGCATTTGAAAATAAAAGGCATTTGAAAATAAAAGAGCGCTTATATTGCTTAGACGTCTTGCCTAGTAAGCCTAGGAGCCCGCCTAGCACACCTAGACCTTCCTAGGTTGACACTACTCGAGTCAACACTCATTATATGATTGTTCCTTATATTTTCAATATATTTTAATACTTTATAATATATATGTTATTTTTATTTTGCAATTTATATATCCCAATACAATTATGTATTTTTTTTAAATATAAATAGGCATTTAATTATACAATATAAAATAACTTGCTTACATCTCCCTAGCCTGCCTACGTCCCAACCCACCACCCAAGTAGCGTCTAGTGTCTTTTAAAACCTTATTCCTCATTCGTACACACTAAAAATTTAAAGACCAACTTGTCAGGAAAAATAATTTGGACGACTAAAGTGAAACAACCCCAAAAGCGTAAACCCTGCTTGCGCAAGGGGCACAGACTTTGCAAAACCCTTACAAGAAAGCTTCGTTCCTTAAAAGGACAGAGACAAGATGAGAAGATAAACTTTGTAAATTTCTCGTCGCTACCGTCAAGATTTGATGGTCCATCAAGACAGGGCATTTCACTTTCTCTTTGGCAGGGAGTACCTCGTTGTGCCCGAGATGTTTCCGCTTACAATAATGTTCGTAAAGGAGTCGAGCACAAAGGCAGGTGAATACAACATACCATCAGGTCTGCCTTTCCTAAGAATCTGAGTATTTCTACAACATTCCTCTTGTTAGGTTACTTGCCATTTGAGTCTCTGATTCCCGATCGTATAACCTTTAAAATCTGCAAAAAGTTCAAATAAAACAAGCAATCATATTAAAAGTAAATACAGATTTTACATGGCTGGCAAGGAAAAGAGAAGGCCTTATTAAATGTTAATGTGCATGGGAAAAAAGGAATGATCTTCAGTATACAGAGCTCAAATTTACCTATCAAAGAAGCCAAAATTGCTCAATCTTTATGAACTATGCGCCCTGTCTAACTTCTAGCTGCCTGGAACCATCAGTATTTAGATCTCCGTCTAACTGTTGCAGCTGTTGCTCCTGTTGGTGTTGACGATGCTCTTCTTCTTGCTGCTGCAGCTGTCGTTGTAGTTGCTGGTACTGATTATGTGAATCTTCCATCAATTGTTGCCGTCGTTGTTGCTGGTATTGGCGTTGATATTGCTCTTCTTGCTGCTGCCACTGCTGGTGCTGTTGCCGGTGCTGCTGCAGTTGTAGTTCATGCCGATGCAATGCATTGCTAGTGTGTTGATGGGAAGATTGCAGTTGTCTGCTGGTTTTCCATCTAAGATACTCCACCAGAAGGGAATTTGTGCTGATTGCAATCCCAAACCCAGTGAATGAGGAAAGTAGAACCGAGAGAACTGGATTTACATTAAGCTGCCGGTGAGTGAACATGAGAAGCTGCATCAGAGACCAATAGAATACGAAGAACAAGGAAAAGAAAGGAACACGTGGGGTCTATAAATTCTTGAAAGAAATCGGTTCTGCTTACAACAGTATAAAATATGTGAGCAAACAGGATCACAATGGCAAACTGGAAGGAGGCATAAGCCCATATGTAGCTCCTGCTCACTGCCACCATCATGTATAATCAGGTAGCGTATTTCAACTATAATTCATGAAAAAATAGAATGCTCCACCTATTTGAAGCAAAAATAGAGCTTGAAAGGGGGCGGAATGAGAGAGTAGGAAACATCATGACTCATGAGTTGCTTAGTAAAGGACCACTCTGGTCGTTTCATTGAAAGAAAAAAAAGCCGTTATAGAAAATAGTTCCTTAGGATAATATTTTTCTCACGTCTCAAAATTCCTGATTTTCCTCCTTTATTCTTTCAATTGTCCAAAATGAACTCCTAGGGTACTTTTTATCCAGTGTACTTTTATGTTTTTTAAGATTTGATGTTCCTTTTTGTCCCCTCTTAACTTTCGAGGCCATATCGGATTGACAATATAAAATTCAAGTTGGCAATAGATGCCACAACTTTATTCTTAAAAGGGTGCAGATAAATATTACCTAATTAAAGCTTGATATGACAAAGCTTCCATTTCTTACTAAAGAGAACGGATTTAAATTAGTAACTTCACAGATGGGTTGGGGAAAATAATTGAGCTGTATGGCAGTATCTTTTATGAAATGAACGGACAGAAAACTAAAAACATACTGATAGTAAAAGGAAGAAAAAACTTACCCATTGTGGAAGCAATCATGGATGAAAGGAGACCTAAAACACAAGAGAAGGGTAAAGAAATGGCAAGAGCACGAGGGCCCAAGTCAGATACCTGTTCAGAATGAAAAAAGAAAATGTCACAAGTAAAATGTTCATACAAATGTTTAAACAACCACCATAGATGTAGAAACCGCAACTGGTAAGTTGTTGAGGTTAAGAAAATTTCTAAAATGCACTGCCATGTTGCCTCCCGTAAGTTATGTTTGTTAAATTATTAAATCTTGACAAAATCAGGCTCTGATAAGGACAATATGAAGTATGATTGAAACTGAGGTGACTTTCAGAATCTAGTCGAATTTTCTCTTTGCCAGCAAGAGTGAGCGTACAACCCTAATTATGATTCTATTAATGAAGAGCTTGAGTTTATAGTAAAAAAGCATAAAACATACCAGAAGTTGCTCCAGAAAGCAGAAATACGCGAGCATGCTGATCAGGACAAGAATTGGTATATCCTGCCAGACCCTGTCATGCATGGAACAAGGAAAAATCCAAAATCAAACTCAGAATGGTAATAGCTCAAGTGTCAACAAAGAGCATGATACCAAAAGTTCCTAGAAAATGTGCCAAGTGATATGTTTGACTCATTTTTTTTTTTTTCTATGCGCTTAACAGGAGTTGTAGAAGACGTGTGAAAATCCATTTGATCAGAAGAGTAACTCATATTAAAAGTGAAAATGAAGAACATAACAAAAAGAAACAAAACATGGTGAATTAACGGAGCATAGTTTAGTCAGCCATCAAGTAACCAGAATTACTAACATATCAATGTGATGATATCTATGAACATTTCATAGATACAACAGCATAACAGCTGTCTTCTCTCTTCGTTTTTACTTGGGAGGGAGGTGGTTGTGTGGTAGTTTCTCTTTTAGCAGAGACATTTTATGCGGTGAACAGACCACATGCATTTCTTTTAAATTTGGAAACATGGAGCCTTAGGACTCTTTTACAATGAGTCATAACTATGATGCCATGCTGGGAATGTGGGATCATTATGAACGTCAGAAAAGTTGGGACTTGCCTGTAACGAGGAACTTCCCTCTGCTCCATTATTGTTGGTGGTCGTCTAGTAACAGTTTGAGGATTGTGTATTTTGAGTAGTGTTACAGGTAAGTTTCGGACATCCTGCTTGCAGACATCACAGGTCTTGTTTCCTTTAATACTAAACCACTTTACTGCACAGTCTTTGTGAGCAAGCGCCAGCTCTCCTTTGCAGCTGCATTCCATTTTAAGAGAATCACCACCTTCTGCGAGCTCAACCAAACAAATCCTGCAAACTGCTTCTTCTTCGGGAATATCCTCACCAGAATCTTCAGTAGCTGAAGGCCAGTTATCATTCATAAATTACAGTTGTTTATATGTCTTAGATAATACACAAATTTAAGAAGCACTCAAAGTGGGCTTAGTAATGCATGTGGATATCGTAGTGGATAGGGTGTTGAGTTTCCACCCATGCGTCTCGGGTTCAAAACTTTCTCCTCCCCTAAATTTTGTAATAGTTTCGAATCCTCCCCTTCCCTTAATAATAATAAATTAAAAAAAAAAGTGGGAAAAGTAAATAATAAATCTGTAAGAATTTGATAAAAGTTAATGGTTCAAACTTCAACCGAGCAAATTTGAAAACCTTGGCTCTGAATTTTTCTTATTTGAAAACTACGAATGGCATTCCCAGTTGCAAGTGAAGGAACATAAACCAATAGAAAGTCTATTGGAGTATAATATGTACTTCCGGAGTTTTAACACCCGTAGCAGAGGTTTGTGAATATTCTCTCATTCTCTCACTAGCCAAATTTTGACACCCGTAGGAGTATCTATGCAGTAATCATGCCTGTAGGAGAGGTTCTTGAATATGCTCATTCTTCCTTCCAGCATGATTATTGCATGTAATACTCGAACAAAAGTATATTAACCATATATGCTCAATCTCCTAGAAGCCAAAATTTTCAAATTCTTTTCATGACAAGAGGTAGCATTTACCAGTTTCCAGTGCTGGGTCAGCATTTGGTGAGGCACCCACAACTGCTGAAGGACGTGGAGTTGCTGAAATTACACGGATCATGCCTCCAGAATCCATCCGCCTTAAACTTCTGCCTGTAATATTTACTGGAACTGAGAATGAGCGGGACATATGATGCTTAGCTTCAATTCTCTGAAACAAAATTCATTTGTAGTGTGACACAAGAATTTCTAAACTGGGCACTGGTACATGCAAACGGTAAATTAGAATCACTTACAGGATAATCAGAATGACTCTCCATATGTCTTCCCTGCCCAGTCTCAGAACCCAGATTTGCACTTGGTGTAACTGGTAAAGAATGTGTCCCTTTCATTGATGTAGAGAAGAAAACCTTATTAAGGGAGAAAGACCGTGAAGTAGAAGGCTTTTCCAAAGGACTATCTGATGGGGGAGTGTCCGGTACAATGAGAATGGTCTTCTCACCATCCAGGGGCAAATTTTTCACCCTAAAGCTTTTTTGAGGAAACAGATTTTTCACCGTTGATTTGATCTTAGCTGAATGTGGCCTAGGCGGCAGTCCAACTCTACTAGAACTTGGACTTGGCGCAGAGGGAATATCAATTCTCGTAAAAGTGGACAAACTACTTTCCAGTGTCCTTGCCGGTATTTGCAATGAGGAAAGGTTTGGTCGTCTAGACTGTTGAACCAACAAGGTTTCTTCATTCTTTAACTTTTGATCATGAATCTGCAAAACCTTCAAACGATTCCATCACTATGCAATTCAACAATGAGATCGAAAATCAGAAATGTTATAGTGTCCAATCACTTCACCATAAGTAAATACATGGACAACAACTAAAATTAAAAACTTTATATGATTATATCCACATCTGAACTGTCGAGAAACCGAAGTCCGATATGCTAAAAACAAGAAAGCAATGTAATTAGTGCATATAAGTATATAACTCAAAGTGGTTTTCACTAATGGACGTCATGGAAACCAAATTTCAGCAACAAAGAACCAAAAAAAAAATCATCTTTTGAGAATAACCCTGTTAAAGTTATCATTTTCCAATTCAGAGTAACTAGACAAAAGCAAATACTAACACTTTGTTTGGTTACCCAGAAAAAGCAGGAAACAAACAGAAAATATCAAAACTTTACTTCTGAAACTACTACAGAGTAAAATCTGGGGCAAAAACTCACCTGGGACTGATCGGAGGAGCTCTCCAAAGTCAATTCCTCACCCTGCGAAAGCTCGGAAGCTGAATTCTCCGTCATAACCAGAGAACTTTACCAAAAATGGAACCCAAAAAACCCTAATTTGGAAAACTGAGAGTCTGCTTTCAGCTGGCAGTCACCAAAATTGAGCATAAATTGAAAAGCATAGAAAACAGTGGCAATGACGGAGACAACAAATTGTGATCGGACATGAATCAAAATTATCAAATATTAAATCAGATTTTGTTCCTTTTGAATTTGGGAACTTTTAAATCGTTTTTGTCTTTATAATCCCCGCCAACGTAATCAGCGTGCTCAATGCTGGTGGATTCTCTTATCTGACTTTACCTTTGCTTCTGCTTTACTTTACTACCTGATTTGTTTAGTTATTAATTAAGCATGATTAGCTGCTTTAATTTAACTTGTTAGTACAAACAAAGGCTTAGGACAAAAAGGATGACACATCAAATAGCTTTTTATGGGGTCCTGTTTTGAGTTTTAAATTAGAAATGTTTTAAGTTTTTTTTTTTTTTTTGAAGAAAAAATATTACCTACACTAGAGAAGGAGGTGGGCTTAGCTCCATAATAGGCTAGCAATATGTGGCTTAACATCGTCTTTAGCAAGAATCGAAACCTAAGACATTTCACTTACAAGTGAATAGAAATATCACTATACTGTAATACTAAGTAGTGAAATGTTTTAAGTTTTAAATTAGATATGCTTACTTTTTTATTTGAAATAAGTCTTTTCAGCTTTTCATTTTGGTTTTTGGATAATTTGGTTTCTAAGTTTGTCATTTTGATCTTTCAATGAAAAATTATTAATATTTTCGTTAAATTGTTATATGAATGATTACGTGACCACCTTTTGAAGGGTATTTTTGTCAAACTAACTCATTCACTTAACGAGCACAGTAACAATTTTTTTACGAAATGACTAAAATATTTTACAATGGATAAACTCAAAAACTCCTTCTATCAATTTTCATATTATATTCGATTGTCTGGTAAAGTGAAAATTAAATTATTACTTATCAAAGATTTCTCTACGTCATATTAAATTAGAGTTTGAGTTTGAAGAGGGGAAGGAATCATCGAAACAAGCGTTTCCTTTAAAAAAAGATCATATTAAATTGTACAAAGAAATGAATTCTATTATTTGGTTGATAAGAAATAAAAGAAATGTTAAAGAAACTTTTTCAAAAGTAAAACTCTTCATGAATTTTTTGCTACCTTTTATCTTTTACACAATATTTTATAATGTTAACATGAGAATTAACGTTAAACTGTGAGGTGACAGAGAATCCATAAAGAGTCCCACTTTGAGAGAATCTCTTTAACATTTCTCTCTATGAATATGAGTATAACTAACGTGAGTTTAAGTTCTATTAAAGAAACGAGAGTGGTTTAGAATAGTTTATTGTCTTATTAAAAAATAAATTGTTGATTAGCAATTTCTTTAAGAGAGTTTAGGCTTAATAATGAAGAGTTCTCAAAATATGTGCCCCACTCGAAATAAGGCTAGATTTAGTTTTTAATAAAATGTATTCTAAATTGTTCTAATTTACGTTAACAGACGTGAACCTTGATATAATAGACGTACAAAATGCCATTGGCAAACTGAGTTAAACCGTATATGAAGACTATATTATTTTTTTTATTTTTTATTTTTGAACAAACGATATTATCTAGATTAAAGATGAGAGAATGAGTTTAACCTTATAATGGACTAGCAATAATATTGTTCAACTTCTTCTTCAGACGAAAATCGAATATAAAACCTTTCACTTATAAGTGAACATGAATACTAATATATCGTAATAGTAAATGGCTGCAGGCTACATTAATTAGATTTTACTAAAAAATCGTTTATTCGTCAAAGAAACTCATGCAAAATTCTTCGGCCCACGGGTTCATAAAGTAGAGGCCCAGCCCATGTAAGTTGGATACAAACCCAGGCTTTCTAGCCCGCTCCAAAAAATTCGGGTCAGAGTCGGTACTCCTCCGAAACCCGGTTCACACATTCACGTCGATCCTAGATCGACCCATTTTACAGCGCCATTGCTGAATCAAAAGCAAAGCGAGAGAGAGAGAGAGAAGAGAGAGAATCCACTCTCCAAATTCTCAGATCTCCTCCTTCCAACTGTTTCTTCCCATCCATTACTCCAACGCAACGAGCTCGAGCTTAATTTGGCAGCCATGGATAAGTCAAGCGCTTTGGAATACATCAACCAGATGTTCCCCACAGGTATGTGTCTCTCCTCCCTCTCTCTCTCTCTCTCTCTCTCTCTCTATGTGTGTGTGTGTATATATGCGTATATGTATCTGTTTGTGTTGTATAAGCAGAATGTGTAGGTGTTGAACTTACTTTTTGAATGCTTTGAATTGTGCAAACAGAGGCGTCTTTATCTGGTGTGGAGCCGCTAATGCAAAAGATACACGGTGAGATTCGGCGTGTAGATGCTGGAATTTTAGCCGCTGTTCGCCAGCAGGTCGTCGCCTTTGCCTTTTGAGCTCTGAGCTCACAACTGCAATTGCACGTTTTTTTTTTTATTTTTTATCTAGTTTTGTAGTTTTTTATGGATTGGCTGGTGTGGTTTTTCAGAGCAATTCGGGCATGAAAGCAAAAGAAGATCTTGCTGCCGCTACACGTGCCGTGGAGGTCTGTTCTTAAACTCGGTTCATAAGCATTGATGTAATTTGCAGAATAAAAGGGTTGTAAATGGATTTTCTTTGGCTTTTAGTTTTTAGTTTGCTGTTTTTGTTTTGTTTTATTTATTTACTTTGTGATGCTCTAAGGCAGGAACTCATGTATAAAATCCGTGAAATTAAAACGAAAGCTGAGCAAAGCGAGACAATGGTTCAAGAAATATGTAGGGATATTAAGAAGTTAGACTCTGCAAAGAAGCATATAACAACGACGATTACTGCTCTTCATCGCCTAACCATGCTCGGTTAGTTCCTCGTTTATGATTTTTACAGTGACGATTGATCAAGATTTATAGATCAACTGTTTGACCCTGATTAGAAACTGATGATGAATGCCTTTATATTATTCTCATGGGAGTGCACTTGGTTTTTTTTTTTTTTTTTTTGGTAACATGGCAGTCTCTGCTGTTGAGCAGCTTCAAGTACTGGCTTCGAAACGACACTATAAAGAGGCAGCCACACAGTTGGAGGTAAGGTATCTCCTAGTATACAGTGTCATTTTACTGTAGATAAAACAGGAGCTTACTTTGTGACTCCTTTTGTTTGATGTTCTCAATTATGCTTTGGTCTTTTGTAGCATCTGATTATTGGTACACTGTTTAAGCATTTGGAAGATCCTCATAAGAAGTGCATTTTTTGGATGCATTCTGTGTTATTTTCCTTTTGTAATATCTGTGGGAATAGAATAGTATTCTTCGTGATACGAACTTTTGCATTATACAAAGATGATTGAAAAGTAACTGCTAGTTTTAGAAGATTAGTGTTATATGAATTTTGAGAAAGTGCTTCATTTTGATTCGAGTTTATGATGTGTATCAGGCAGTTAACCAGTTATGTAGCCATTTTGAAGCTTATCGGGACATTCCGAAAATCATGGAGCTGAGGGAAAAATTTAAGAATATCAAACAAATACTAAAGTCGCACGTGTTTTCTGATTTCTCAAGGTATGTGTTTAAAATAATATGCAGTGCTTTATATACAAATTAATGTTTAAGCAGACCATTAAAAGATAGATCATTGAACAACTATTGATACTAGGTTTTGGGGTTTACTAATTATAGCATTTGGTCATATTCTTTATTCTTTGTTAGGATGTGTGTGCCTAGAACTATATAATGGAGTTGTTTGTGTATGACTATTAGTTAAACTGCTGCAACTATAATGTTTTTGCTGTCTTTGACTCTTTAGTATCCTTAGTATCTTCTCTATTGCGGTTTCTTCTCAGCTTAGGTACTGGAAAGGAGACGGAGGAAACAAATTTACTTCAGCAGTTATCTGATGCTTGCCTGGTTGTTGATGCTTTGGAGCCATCTGTGAGGGAAGAACTAGTAAATAACTTTTGCAGCAGGGAGCTTACTTCCTATGAGCAGATATTTGAAGGAGCTGGTGTGTGCTCATGTTTGATGTTATTCTTAGCAGATGCTTTCAGTATGTATGAAGACTTCACTTTAATTGTCCTTAATTTTGAATTTCATCTTGTTTTCTCTATTTGTAGAACTAGCTAAGTTGGATAAAACTGAACGAAGATATGCATGGATCAAGCGTCGTATGAGAACAAATGAAGAAATTTGGAAAATCTTTCCTACTTCATGGCATGTTCCTTATCGGCTCTGTATTCAGTTCTGTAAAAAAACAAGGTACAATCGACTTCCCTCTGATATCAAAGTTCGTCGATAGCTTCAATTCCTTTTCACAGAGGGTGGAATTTTCTTAGTTTTCCTTTTACATAAAATGTAGCCATCAACTTCTTTAAATACCCAAAAAGAACTATTAGCATTTGGAAACTGTCGTTCCTATTGCAATCCTTATTATATTCAAGGTTTCAACATGGTGAACCAAGAAAAAAATCTGAACATAGTAGTGTTCTCTGTGCTGGTGGTTACATGTGTAACTAAGTAGAAGGGAAGGCAAGTGATGGCATCACACATAGAGATAAAATAGATGTTTCTTCCTTTCCTCCATTAATGTTTTGAGATTTTAGTTTGCTTAATATATATATATATATTTTTTTTTTTCAATCAGAGGAGAAGAAAAATGTTTGAAGTAAAATTCCATAAAAGACAACCTAGTTTACTTTTGAGGTTGACATTTTATTTGTTTCCTTTTTTGCCATTTACTTGACTCTCTGGACATAGGGGGTTCTAGTGTACATCTGATTTCACCAGAGAATTCAAAGAAACTTAAAAAGTTGAACTTTTTTGTATTGTTCTTTTTTCAGAAAGCAGCTGGAAGATATACATAATAATCAGAAAGAAAAGCTCGATGTTGGGATATTATTGTTGGTAAGCCTTTTTCCTATTTATGTTTTGGATTGATTTTACATGTAGTTGAGGAGTGATATTTGGTGCTTCTTTAGTTTGTCTTAGATTAGTTTGATTCTTGTCTATTCTTGTAGAAGCAGCACAAACAACCTAAAGCTCAGATAAACCCAATTTCAACCTTTTTTGAGGCATTTGAATCAAATATCGTTATGTTATCATGTCGTCTTGCACTATTTTAATCCACTTCCTTTTTGGCTTAGGTATGAGTGCAACCATCCGTCTCTTGTTGCAGTCAGTTATTCTCTTCAGTTTGTTATTTCAACTCCATATCCATATGATGTGATATCATTTGTTTTGCCTCTTGAAAATAAC